AAAGGACAAGTGTGGAACGGTTGAATGGAAGCTTGTGGAACGTAGTAGGAAAAGGTCGAGGAGAACAAGGGAGGAAGAACCGGTGGATTCAGTTAAAGGTAAAAAGAAGGACGTTAAGAGTTCAGACGAAGAAGATGGGAATAATAATTATGGAATTACTATAGATAAAGTACCTGGAAATGCTGTAGAAATAGAATTGGAAACGCCCAAGCACGTGGAAACTTCTGGAAACGAGAATCAAGATACTGGAATTGGGAACAAAGGAACGGCACTTCACCAAAATAAAGGTGAAAGGCGAAAGAATTTTACGAAGAAGAGCTTTCTAGTAAAGAATATATGGTCCCTGTGGTTTTAAAGAAGGAAGCGACGAGCAAGATGAAACGTAGAAATTTAATCAAAATATATCGTTTAATTAAAAATAAGGGTAGATTTCTGCATAGTCTTAAAATGGTCGCTTTTAATAGGGCGGAGCTCACCTTCAGCGACATGGCAACGGTAAATGAAATTTTGTCACGAGCTGAAAAAAACGAGGCATGTTTTGACGCATACTTGCCGGGTCGGAAAAGAATCAGGAAGGGCGTAATTACCGACTGGGAGGAACCGATCGGTGCTCTGGAGGAGGCGCTTGTCCCTGGACAACCCGAGTGCACTCTGGAAAGATTAAAGAAGAAAGTGGTCAAGGATGGCAAAGCGGAATGGGTCGAAGGGTTAGCCATCTTGGCCACCTTCAAGGGGGATCCGCTCCCGAAAGAACTTTGGATTGGTCAAGGACATGTGAGCATGCGTATGTTCCCATTTGTTGAGTCAGTAAAACAGTGTTACCGATGCTTCGCATTCGGTCACGTCCGAATGCAATGCAGGAATAAGTCGAGGCGCTGCATAAGGTGTTTACAGAATGAGCATGGTGCTTGTGACCGGAATATTAAATGTATAAATTGTGGAGGCCCCCACACGAGCCTCTCTAAGATTTGTTGGAAATTTCAGCGAGAAAAAGCCATTAAAAAGGTTATGGCATACCGTAATGTCGCCTATGCGACTGCAAGGGACATTATTACTAAGCAGCTGAGGCATCTATGACAACGACGACGAGCTTTTGGAAATATCGAGGGACTTCTCTGCACTCACAATGAAAAGCAGGTCCAGGGTCCCAGAGTTTTGGGAGAAGTTTGATGTCCCCTTTGACAACGAATTACAAGCGATCCAGGAGGCTCGGGGCTCGCTCTTCCCACCCCCGACACAGGGTAGAGGGTGGAACCTGGTGGTGCAAAGCTTTAGTAATGACGATAACACCCCCCCAAAGGTAGGGGAAGGGGGAGAGGAAGATTAAACCTGGAAGTAAAGGATGATCCAGTCAAGACAAGAGAGCGTTTGATTAGAAGAAATTTAATTGCATTGGAAAAAGAGAGATGGAACAATAGATATGCTACCATCCAACCGGAATCAGATCCGGAGGAGGGGGAGGCAGAATACACATTCGGAAATGGGGAAATTGAAGAAGCGGCAATTAAAAGAATTAGCAAGATGGAGCAACGGGCGAACAGACATCTGGTTGACCAACTGAGAAAGAGGAGGGAGGATGAATTCCTATCTGAACTTCTCAGTTTAATTGCTGATCGGGGCCTGGAACATGAAGTGGTGGCGGTTCTGAAGAAAAAGAAATACGCCAGGCGCCCTACTGCTGAGAAAGTACAGCGGCCGGAGTGGAACATCCCGATCCCGCCCAAAACACTTGCGAAGATCGAAAGGAAGAAGGCTCTGTATGCAGCTAGAGAGGCTGAGAAAAAGCGGTTACAGGAAGAATGGGAAGCCAGCCTTCCGGGCCCCTCTTTTGCCAAGAGGGAAAGGGAGCTAGAGGCACTGGAGGCTGAGAGGGAAGAAGAAAGAAGTAGGCAAAGAATAGCGGATATGAAGAAGGGTCAATTTGGCCATGTGTTTAGCCAAAACCCACCCTCTGACAATAATTAGTTTCGCGCTGCTATATGCTCTTTTCGTTAATGCCGGTGTTTTTACGGACTTAAGAATATGGAAATGTGTGATAAGGATGTATTTGTGTGATTTTTCTGTTTGGCTTTTATGGATTTTTAGGTTTAAGTTTTTGATTAAGTATCGATGGCACGGTATAAGAACATGGAATTGCGTGATCATAGCGCTCTTATTTTTTAAGGTTTTTGGATACGGAATAATTCTGGAATTTTGTATTATGATATACTAGAAAATCACCTGGAGGATTGAACTGTTTTTGGAACCGAGGAATGATACCAAAGCTGGGAGCTTTACGCGCCCTTACGAAGCGGGTAATAATTTTCCGGTTTTTTTGGTCACTCGTTTGTGTCTCGTTTTGAAGGTGGTGGGATTTAAGTTTAAGTTAATAATTGCTGAGTCTGATTATATTTCTTTTATTTTTAGTTTTTTCTTTATTCCTTATCGTTTAATTAAATTAATTTTTTGTTGCGCTACAGAATACTTCTGCGCTAGTTATCTAAGACATCAGAATTTATGTATCCGAAACGTATTACAATGTGTGATGGTCCTGAAAAACTTTTGAAAACGATGGTGTGAGGAATATTTTTCTAGTTTGCTAAAATATATGAGAAAAGAGAGGAAATATACTTACGTATTGTTTTTTGTCCTACTTTTTGTCAGGTGACGGCAAACCATGATATACTTTGCATTGCACTTTTTGAAAGAACTTACTGATTCCGTAATATTTTGTAGGTTCATGCGATTTTGCTTTCCTGCGAAGTTACACTGTTGAAACTCTGCGAGAGACGAGTCCCGTGAACCCAGGGGCCCTGGTGCCCCTTGGATTTATAATTTTTAAGTAAGTCACAATGGCGGAAAATATGCTATTAGGTATCTGGAATGCTAGAAGCGTGAAAGGAAAGATTGCGGAGATCAAAGAGTACGTTGGGAAATTCCAGGTTTTTGGAATTACAGAAACATGGCTGAAGCCTTCGGACTTATTTAATATCCCGGGCTTCACTGTTGTTAGGAAAGATCTCAATGAGGATAGGCAGGGTGGGGGAGTTGCTGTGCTCATACGGCAGAATATTAACTACAAGGTTAGGGAAGATGTGTATTGGAATGGTTAGGGGAGGCAGTTGATAGAGGTATTGTTGGAATTAACGTCTGAAGTTTTGGATGTGCTGGTAGTTTATACAATAGAAGGCCGGGCACGCCCTGGACTAGACAGGACTGGTTGGACTTGTTCGACTCTAACTGTAGGGATGGGGTGGCCACGGTTATTATGGGCGGCTTTAATGCGAGAAGTAGGTTGTGGAATTGTAGCGTGGATAGTCGGGAGGATCGTTTGTTGGAAGAAGTGGTAAGAGATTGGAACTATTTTGTACTGAATAGGTTCACTTTGTTGAGAATAGGATATGGAGGTCGTCCCCCCTCCAACCTTGACCTGATCATTGGATCACAGGAGGTGATGAATAAAGGAGTAATAGAGCAGAAAAACGAGACGATGGGCTCGGACCATCAGGGGGAGGTTCTAAGAAATATAATGAGAAAAAGATGAATTGGTTGCTCTATGAGGTTTACACGGGAGAGGAAGCTAACTGCCTAGGGCCCGTATGGGAAAGGGAACAATGGAATAAAAGTAACATGGATGATAGGTGCTCCCAGTTTTTGGGTGCGTTAGATAGAGCTATTCTCAGGGCAGGTGGCGCTTTTAAATCTCAGCGCAATGGGCCCGCCCTGGAGAATAATCCTCTAGATAGAATAAGAAAGCAGGTCTGGTGGGATGAGGAGTGCAATGTAGCTAAGAGGGATAGAAGGGTTGCTGTTAGAAACTATATCCGCAGACCGTCTCAGGCTGCTTGGATCTCTCTTCGGGATGCTGAGAAAAAGATGCGCTCCTTGGTGTGCAGTAAGAAAAGCAAGGCATGGGATGATTTTGCAAATTCGATTTACTGTTTTACGAGTTCTAAGGACGCGTGGCGTAAAATCAAGAATATTAAGAATGGGATCTCAAGGGAAGGGGAGACCATCCCTCGGGAGGAAAAGAGGATGCTAGAAGACAGGGAAACGGAGAAGATTTTGGGATCAGGAAGGGATGACCTAGGGTCCCTGGATGTAGACTTTGATAACTTTTTCTCTCACTCGGAATGTGATGACAATAATGAGCCCTTCACACTCCAGGAGCTTAATTGGGCGTTGAAAGGGGTCAAGAGTTCTTCGGCCCCGGGGGAGGACGGGGTCTCCTATGCTTTTCTCAAAAACATACACGCGGACATGAAAATCTTATTGCTCAAAATGTACAATTGGGTGTGGAGCTCCGGATATATTCCGGAGCGCTGGAAGAAGGTTGTAGTTAGATTTCTGGATAAGCCTGGGAAAAGGGCGGTTCGGCCCATTTCCCTCATTGACTATTTAGGGAAACTGTTAGAAAAATTGGTCAAGGGACGTCTGCAGGAATGGGTAGAACAGGCCGATATTGTGGATCACAGACAGAGTGGGTTCATGAGGGGCAGATCAACTTTGGATAACCTCATGGCCCTCATTTTGGATATTAAAGAGGCATTCCGCCGTAAGGAGGACGTCTCTGCAATATTCGTGGATGTTAAGGCAGCATATGATGGTGTGAATCATAGAAAGTTGTTGAAAATTTTAAGGGACAAAGGGTGTCCGCGGGCAGTTGGAAGATACTTATGTAACTGGGTCAAGAGCAGGGTGGCTCTGTGTAAGAGAAAGTTTGATCCAGATGTCTCGGGGAGGATTGCTAAAGGCCTTCCTCAGGGCTCGGTCTTAAGTCCTCTGTTATATAACATATATTCTGCAGATATTTGCTCTAACATCGAGCTGGAGAATAGGAAGGTACTGCTGTACGCGGACGACATTGTGGTCTACGTGTGGGGTAGGAACAAAGAGGATAGGGAACGCTTGTTGGTAGATGCTGTGGAATCGATCATCCACAATTTGAGGCTGATTGATTTGGATCTGGCGATGGAAAAACACAGTGGATTAATTTGACTAGAAATAGGTCTAGAGTAGGGATGGTGAGTAGTTTGGTAATTGAAGATATGGTCATTGATAGTAGTAGGGAAGTAAAGTTTTTGGGAATTATTTTAGACGAAAGTCTGTCGTTCTCTAGCCAGGTGAACTATGTGTGTAACAGGGCAAAGAAACGCCTCGACATCTTACGCTTCGTGGCTGGTATTAAAAAAGGGGTTAATCCCAACACTATGCTTGTTTTCTTTAAGGGCCTGGTTCAAGGGCAACGTTAGACGAAGGCAGAATGAAAGGTCAAGAAGGGATGAGAACTCGGGAAACGCGCCTAGACAAACCTATACGCGCGGGCCTTCCCCTTCGACACGTATCCTGATTTGCCAAATGATGTCCCTACTTTGGGGTACCGATCGCGGGTCGAACCCTGAGACACGATCACTTGACTGAGGCAAATCACTCTTCGTCGAAAAATCGTGAGGTACGTGGCGGGGAGCCCGTGTTCGTGTCGAGCAATAGTTTTCGCGTGAAATCGTCGTAATTAGCTGACCGGTAAAGTCCTTGAAAAAGGCAGAATGACGGGAGATTGCGGTTCGCGTTTTTCGCGTTAAAGACTCTTGCGAATACGTTAAACTTCACACTTTTCAATTACTATCCTTTTCTCTTTCGTTTTTAAACCGTCCGCTAAATTAATTATTTTTCTTTTTTTTTCTCTCTTTTCTCCGCGTCGCGTTGTTTTCGCAATACTTTTGTGCTCGTTTCGTAATTAATCGTCCCGTAATACCGTAATAAAGGGCCGATCGCGAACGCGTAGTGCAAGTGTTAATTTTCTCATCTCTTCTTCGGCTTCCAGATTCTAGACGACACCAGAGCTAAATAAGCGACAAATAGTTAAAGTCTTATCATATACTAATTTTACATCGATCTTGGTAAGTTGTCCATTTCATTTCTAACCAATACGATAAATCTGGATTTAGTGAGGCAAAACGGGCGATCTACGGAACCGGGCGTTCTGGGAAATATCCCACTAGATCGTGCCATTCAACGCTGCGATTTAAGGTATCGAACATTAATATTCTCGAATAAAATTCCGATTCGCATCCAAAGGAGACGGCCCCACGAAACCGTCGTTCCGATAATTTCCCCTGGGACCGTTCTCTCTTTTCCTTTTTCGCGTATAAGCGTTCACAGAACATCGTCGCTCGAATCATCGAATCAAAATCTTAATTAGCCAATAATCAATAGTTTCGTTTTTTATATAACTTTATACTTTCCTTCGTAATATATATATACTTTCTTTTGTATTTCAAGCAGCTCGTACTTCCTGTTAACTAACCACTTTTATTGTCACGCTTATTTTTCCGAAATTATATTTTTGTTACACCTAACCAGTTTAATTCATTTGCGTTTCAAAAACACTTCCTTTTTCCTTCACGTTCACGCCTACCATCTTCGCACAAATTCATACGAGGGGCCCGTATGGGGCTAGAGCATTGACGGACTCAAATAATCTATGAATTAATCTATCAATTGATCACACTAATTCTCTTATTGTTCTAATCGTGAGTGATCTAACATCGTCACAAGCGATTAGGACTGGTGGCAGCGCTAATACCGTTCTCAACCGCGCATTAACCATTCAGAAGGAAAAGAAACGGTAATAATATTTTCCTAACTTTTTAACATCTAATCTTTTTCTTCTTCTTTTCCTTTTTATTTTGTACGTCGCGCGCCGTAGCTCGCACGCGACGTAACATATTGCGGCCGCAGTAATAAACAGAACCAGAATCAGTGAGTTTACCAACGACGAGGTTCGGTGCTGAACTGTATCATGAGACATGAGATGATATTTTATCTGGTCGATGCTATTATTATTTCTTCGGTGATTCGAGTTAAGTTCGTTTTACAAACCTTTCGGAGATACTTTTTAAGACGTAAAATACTGTAAAGGAGGTAACTTAATAACCCTCTTTAGTTCATTGGAAATTATTTTGTTAATAAATGACGAACTCTAGTTCTAAGTTTAGGGTATATGTGTTTAAGGTAAAAGAATATTCATTTAGAAAAAATAATGAATAGAAAATAAAATTAGAAAAAAAATTATTTTCTTCTAATTTCATTTAGAAATCATTTAGAAATAAAAATGAATAAAAAATATTACATAGGTTCTGTAGGATATAATCAATAATAATAATAATGTAATAATCATAATAATCATAATAATATAATAAGTAACAGGTGTCGAAAAGAAGAAAAATGTATTTCAATAAAATCTTTTATTTAATAGTAAGTAAAAGCTGGAAAAGTGCAACAAAAGATTGGCTGGATAAGTGCAACATCGCTATCCTTTCCACTCGACCAGGAAGCCGTGTAATATGATCCGAACCGTAATATCGGTGTGACTAATAGTAATTCAACGATAAAGCTTTTTTATTTTTAACTTATTCCATGTTTGATTGTGAGTCCAGCAACACACGGTGCGATTGATAGCAAAAATTATAAAAGTAACTAAGTCGCGGTATTTTCAGTGTTAGATTTGTATTCCACGAAAAAATAAATATCTAAAATTACCACAATACTATATACAAATTTGTCCACTGCTTGACACAGTCTGCGACCTTTCAGAATATTCGGGGTCTGTTTTCTGTTATAAAATCTTGCCATAAAACTTTGAAAAAGAAAGGACAGTCGGTTCGCGTCGCGTGATTGCATACTTGCTCGAGCGGTTTGTTTTAAATTTGGCGCTGCGCGAGGGGATCGGTCAATTTGTGCGGGTGTTTTCCCAGAGTTTTTCTGAGTTTTCCGAATTTTGTAAAGGAGCGAATTGTGGTTTGGATCTGAGACTGGTGGTGTTCGTTGACGGGCGCTGTGGCTGTCGTGCGTGTGTCCTATTTTTGATACACTAGGTGCTGTCATTTATCTGCACGGCCGGGCGATCTTGTGGGTGGTTCAAACGGCTAACTGTGCGCACAGTTCGGCGATCGGTTGATTCTGCCCACCTGGCTAGCCGTGCAGTTAGTGGTGCGTTTTTACGGCCACTTTGTCCTCTTTGCCGGGACGCCTCCTGTGATCAGGGTTTGTGATTTTTTGGTAAGGACCACGACGATTTGTTGCGACGTCGGCGAGACACCATCCGACACGATTAGTAAAAGAGTTCTCGATTGTGCAAATACATAACAGTGTGAATGATTATGCAAGTGCATGGTAGTTTTAAGATCTAGTTTAATTCACGTTTTTTACTTTGTATATTTTGTTTTTATCATTTTATGTATACATTCCTTTAGTTTAATTTGTTTGCTGGGACCAGGCTTTTTGCCTACTTTCGACTGGGGTTTTTTACAGCCGGTACCCGTAGAGTAGAGTCAGTTAGGTTTTGAGTTATTAAAGTTATTTTCATTTTAACTATATATCAGTTGTCGTATTTATTTACCGGTGACGCCAATTCCACCTCATGTCCTTCCTCATTTTATTGTAACTCCGAATAGTCGGAACATTTTTGGTGCTCCGGGTGAGGAATGAGGTTATTGTGCAGAACCGAAGTTAGTTGATTTGTTAGTTGAGATCAAATACAGTGAATAAAACTAGAGATTTACTTTTAAGGCTGACTGTTAAGAGACAGCGTTATACCATTGCATGGGCGATTCTTTGTTTATACGTTCTTTCCTGTAGGGGCGAGTAACGTAAACATAGACTTTTGGTCGCGTCGCCACGAGTTCAAGTGGGCCCTTGGCCGCGTTTCTTCGAACGTTGAGGTCCGTTTCGACTGCAGAGACGCGGGATATTTCTTATTTTTTGTTTGAGAATAACACCCGGGCTATACTGATTTATTGTTTGTTTTAATTATAGTAAAGCGATACAAATATTATATTGTTATAATTTCTTTATTCTTGTTTCGTAATTGGTTTATTGAATTTAATCTTGTTACTAGCTTATTTTATTACCTTTTGATTCGCATCTCAGATTAATTAAGTAATTTCGAGACTTTTGGGTTAATATGGCGCCTACCGCTTTGAAAAGGCTCGTTATGGTGCAGTATACGCGATTAGCAAAAATCGAGTTGTCGAGCTCTCGATTAAAGGACAAAGATTGCAGCACATTTAATCGAAACATTATCGCTTCGCGAATCGAGTCCCTGCAGGAAATCTGGAAGGATGTGCGTAGCGCGCATGCCGACATTTCAATCCGTGATGATGCGGAGGGCGACGCGTATCTCACGGATAACGTAATTGGCCGCTTGCAATCGGCATACGAAGATACGCTTGATTTTTTGTTGACTGTGTACAAGCGGAATTAGAGACTGCGGAGCAGCCTACCTTGCCGACCGGGCCACCGAACGCCAGCTCTTCTTTAACGCTCGAGCACCGCGCGGCTAAACTTCCCAGATTAGATTTGCCTACGTTTTCCGGTGAATACGAGGATTGGGAAAATTTCTGTGATTTGTTCACCACATTAGTACATAATGCACCCGGCCTGGCTGATGCAACCAGGTTACAATATTTGAAAACTTGTTTAAAGGGGGCGGCGGCGGATCTCGTTAAAGATGTGACTACTACGAACGCGAATTATTCGGCGACGTGGCAGGATTTGAAGGCGCATTTTCACAATCCGCGTTTGATCGTGTACAAGCATTTAAGGGCACTTTTGGATATGCCACACTTGAAAAGAGAATCCGCGACAGAGTTGCGTTCATTTGCTGACGAAGCTTAGCGTATAGTACGGGCGTTAACAAATTTGCAAATGCCAGTAGAGCATTGGGATATTTGGTTTGTTTATATCCTAGCGGCTCGTCTGGATTCCGATTCTCAAAAGGCATAGGAGACGGCATTAAGTGTTAGGGATCGTCGTATGGTATTAGATAGCGTCGCGGAATTAGGGTACGTGAACCCTTTAGATCGATTCCCGAAATTCGCGGATTTATCCGAGTTTTTAGAGAAACGCGTTCAGGCGCTCAGTATGGTCGCTTCAAATAGCGTTAAACTGGAAAAAGGGCCTTCTGCTATACCTAAACCTGTACCGGGCTCGCGACGGGTATTCCACTCTGTTTCGTCTCAACCTTCAGTTGATGGGAAACCGAAGTGTCCCTTGTGTACTGGCGCGTATTGGTTAGCTAAGTGCTATAAATTCCAGGCCAAGAAACCTTTCGACCGTCGTAGAAGGGTACGCCGGTTACAACTCTGTTACAATTGTTTTGGCCGTCATAGGGTGTCCGATTGTCGTTCGTCGTTCGTTGCACGCAATGCAAGGAAAAGCACCATAGCAGGCCAGCGGTTCCCAGTCAAAGGAGAAAGATTCGGTTGAGTCACAGGGTTCAAGCGACGAGAAACCCTCTACGTCCTCGGGCGTGAATATGCACACTGCACGTGTTCCTTCGCGTAGGTATACGGTGTTGTTAGCAACTGCTCAGTTAACGTTGGAAGGGCCACGCGGGGCGCGGACTCGTGTGCGGGCTTTGCTAGATCAGGGATCTCAAGATTCTTTTGTATCCGAATCAGTTGCTAACCTTTTAGGTTTACGAAAGCGTCGCGTTGACGTTCCGTTAATGGGTCTCGGTGCGAAGTCTGCCGGCACTGCCTGTCTGGCTACGAGTTTTAAAGTATGTTCGTTAGTTGACCCGTTGTTTCAACTCGAAACGGAAGCGTTGATCCTGCCGAAACTCATGTCGCAACTCGTGACACATCATGGAGTTGGATCTCGGGTTGTTCGCGGGGTTGTCTTTGGCGGATCCACAATTTTATATTCCGGGATCGGTCGACGTTATTTTTGGCGCAGATATTTATGGACAGATGTTGCGTTCGGGACTGCGTAGTTTTCCTCCCTCGTCCCTGATTGCATAGGAGACGGTCCTTGGTTGGATTGTCTCCGGCCCTGTAAGTTCGGACGGTTCACGGCGGGCGGTCCACCATTTAGCCACGCCACTTCAAATGTTGCATTGTACCGCAGACCATGACCTAGACGAGTCGCTACAGCGGTTTTGGATCCTCGAAGATTTACCAGCGGCCGCCACGTCGCTGAAACCATTAGACGAAGCGTGCGGAAGATTGTTTCGAGAGTCACACGGTCGTAATGCGGACGGTCGTTTTATTGTGCGTCTTCCGTTAAAATCTGAGCCGCCAGCGGTTGGTCCGAAAACCAGACGTATGGCTATGGGCTCTCTTGCGCATATGTATCGCCGGTTTGATCGCGATCCTAGACTTGCATCGGCATACCGCGAATTTATGTCCGTATATGAAAGTTTGGGACACATGGAACGTGTGCCCGCGTCGGAGCTTATTAATTCGCGTGCATGGTACCTTCCTTATCATGCGGTCGTGCAATCGACGCCGTCGAAATGGAAGATTAGAGTAGTTTTTGATGCGTCGCGAAAGACTCGCGAAGGCCAATGTTTAAATGATTTTCTCTTGCCGGGACCTGCTCTTCAGCGTGATCTCTCGTTGATCCTACTAAATTGGCGACGGTATCGTTTTGTGTTTACGGCGGACGTTGTTAAGATGTTTCGGCAAATTTGCGTCGCGAGCGGTGATCAAGATTTGCAAAGAATAGTGTGGGCTCCTAGCTCATCGGAGACGCCGGTGGAATACCGGTTGACAACCGTGACTTATGGGACGGCGTGTGCTCCCTATCTCGCGATTCGTACGCTTTTACAATTGGCGGAGGATGAAAAATCGCGTTTCCCTCTCGGTGCCCAATGTTTAATATATAACACGTACGTGGACGACACGTTTGCGTGCGCGGACGAGCTCGCCGTTGCGGTGCGCACCCGACGGGAGCTCATTGACCTTTTAAAATCGACGGACGTTGAATTAGATAAATGGGCCACGAATCACTCCGACTTGCTACCGGGCAATACACAGCAATCTGGGACGGAAGACTCAAAATCAATAGGTTTCGATGAGTCTGTCAAAACTTTAGGGGTTCAGTGGAATTCAAATCGGGATGAATTTCGTTTCACTACGTAAGACTTTAAAGGCTTAACCGGAGCAGTGACCAAGCGGTCTGTTCTTTCCAATATTGCGCGCTTGTTTGATCCGCTAGGGTGGTTGGCTCCGATTACAATAACCGCCAAGATTTTGATGCAGGATCTTTGGATTCTAAAGATTGGATGGGACTCTGCTCTACCACTAGATGTGCAGGATAGATGGCGTGTTTATTGTAGCTCCCTTTCAATTTTACCTGCCTTATCTATTAGTCGTTGGTTGGGAGCTTCTTGCGACTCGGGTTCGCAGATTCATGGGTTCTCAGACGCCTCATCTCGTGCTTATGCTGCAGCAATTTATATTAGAATCAATGAGGGGAATGGTCGTTTTCGAGTTTCTCTGCTATCCGCGAAAAGTAAAGTTGCTCCTGTGAAGACAGTGAGCATCCCTAATTTAGAGCTGTGTGGGGCCGTATTACTTGTCAAGCTTCTTTGCCATGTTCGTAAGTTAGATTTTTTACAGGATTTGCCCGTTTTTAGTTGGACTGACAGTCAAATTGTTTTGACTTGGCTTCGCAAACATCCATGCCATTGGAAAACTTTTGTGGCGAACCGTGATGCGTTCATCCAGACCGAGTTGCCGAGTGCTATATGGGGGCATGTGCCCACTAATGAGAATCCCGCAGATTTGGCTACACGTGGTAGTAAGCCCGCTGACTTGATACATGCAAACCTGTGGTGGCATGGGCCTGATTGGCTTGCGATGCCCGAGGAGCACTGGCCGAAAGTGCCGCTAGCTCCGCAGGTCTTGCATGTTAAAGCGACTCCGAATGATCCGGAGATTTTGTGTAAATTTTCTACGTTGACTCAGTTAACTCGTGTTGTGGCTTTTTGTTTACGTCCATTGGTTGGTTTGCGAAGGCGCAAGGACAATCTTTCTAAATTACCTGATTTTTTGACCACATCAGAATTGTCTGCAGCACGAATTGCAATAGTTAAATTGGCACAGTCGCATGCTTTTGATTCAGAAATTAAATTGTTACAGATGGGGAAAAGTTTACCGAAGCGTAGCCCTTTGGTTAGTTTAAATCCGTTTGTGGACAAGATGGACGGTGTTCTGCGCGTTGGGGGTCGTCTAGTAAATTCGAGTTTGTCTCACGATCGCAAGCATCCACCTATTTTACCGCGTCGTTCACCACTTAGTCGTTTGTTTGTTCGGCACGCGCATCGTTCCTGTCTTCACGGTGGACCTACGCTCACGTTGAATACGGTTATACAATATGCATGGATTCTCGGTAGGACCCGTCTGGTCAAAACGAAGATTCGACAATGTGTCACTTGTCAACGCGTTAAGCCACGCTTGGCCTGGCAAATGATGGGCAATCTACCTGCCACGAGGATTACACCGGCTCGACCGTTTTCTTCCGCCGGTTTAGATTATGCTGGACCTTTCCAGGTTCGCACTGCTAAGGGCCGGGGTTATAAATGTTATAAGGGATATATTGCACTTTTTGTTTGTTTCACGACACGAGCAATCCACCTTGAAGCACTGAGCGATCTCACGACTTGGATGTTTCTTGCCGCGTATCGGCATTTCGCAGGACGTCGAAGGGTCTTCCGGAATCTTTATAGTGATAATGCTACCACGTTCCAAGCCGCGGATAAAGAGTTGCGGGCCATGCTTATAGCGGCTTCGGATTTTTATAAGAGTGTAGCCACCACTTTCGCGAACGACGGAACGACTTGGACGTTCATCCCTCCGAACTCTCCCCACTACGGAAGTTTATGGGAAGCGGGGGTAAAATCTGTTAAACACCACTTGAAACGGGCGATCGGTGATCGACCATTAACTTTTGAGGAGTTTTCGACTGTCTTAGTAGAAATTGAGGCGTGCCTCAATTCGCGGCCTCTTTGTCCTTTGAGCGCAGATATTGAAGATCTGCAGGCTTTGACACCTGCACATTTTCTCGGTGTAGCTTCAGCGTTAGTTCCAGACGAGTCACCCCCCGACGTGTCAGAGAATCATCTTGAACAGTTCTAATTGCTTCAATCGATTCGAAACAATTTTCGGAAGAAATGGTCGGAGGAATACCTGCAGCATCTGCAGGAGCGTTCAAAATGGCGAGGACCAACGGAAAATTTCGCGGTCGGTCAACCGGTTCTCGTGCGGGATGACCGGTATCCTCCTTCGAAATGGCCTCTCGGGCGCGTTACTGAAGTCCACCTTGGTCCGGATGGTTTGGTGAGAGTAGTCACGGTACGAACGGCTACTTCTTGTTTAAAGCGGCATGTTGCGCGATTATGCCCGTTATGGTTAGAGCGGAGTCCACCCAAGCCTGCGGCGGATAGTACAATGATTTGAGCGCGAGTTAGAGGTTCGTCCGGTGGACGAAGGCGGGCGGAATGTTCGCGTCGCGCGATTGCATACTTGCTCGAGCGGTTTGTTTTAAATTTGGACGTTGTCACGCGACACTGCGCAGGCGCGAGCGGTGTGTCGGTGGTGGTGGCGGGGTATGGCCCGGAACCGAGCCCGCGCATTGAACCGTGATCGGTCAATTTGTGCGGGTGTTTTCCCAGAGTTTTTCTGAGTTTTCCGAATTTTGTAAAGGAGCGAATTGTGGTTTGGATCTGAGACTGGTGGTGTTCGTTGACGGGCGCTGTGGCTGTCGTGCGTGTGTCCTATTTTTGATACACTAGGTGCTGTCATTTATCTGCACGGCTGGGCGATCTTGTGGGTGGTTCAAACGGCTAACTGTGCGCACAGTTCGGCGATCGGTTGATTCTGCCCACCTGGCTAGCCGTGCAGTTAGTGGTGCGTTTTTACGGCCACTTTGTCCTCTTTGCCGGGACGCCTCCTGTGATCAGGGTTTGTGATTTTTTGGTAAGGACCACGACGATTTGTTGCGACGTCGGCGAGACACCATCCGACACGATTAGTAAAAGAGTTCTCGATTGTGCAAATACATAACAGTGTGAATGATTATGCAAGTGCATGGTAGTTTTAAGATCTAGTTTAATTCACGTTTTTTACTTTGTATATTTTGTTTTTATCATTTTATGTATACATTCCTTTAGTTTAATTTGTTTGCTGGGACCAGGCTTTTTGCCTACTTTCGACTGGGGTTTTTTACAGCCGGTACCCGTAGAGTAGAGTCAGTTAGGTTTTGAGTTATTAAAGTTATTTTCATTTTAACTATATATCAGTTGTCGTATTTATTTACCGGTGACGCCAATTCCACCTCATGTCCTTCCTCATTTTATTGTAACTCCGAATAGTCGGAACACAGTCAATGATGGGCCATGATGAGGTATGTGCGGACAATGACGCACTCAGGATTTATTCTTGGAGGGAGCTAAGTTGAACGAATAAAAATATTTTTAATACAAAAAACAGTGTTATTAATATGTTACATAAACAGTAACACTACTTTAATTAGGAACAGATTTTGGAAAATTTTCTGTTGTTCCCCTTCCTTTTTCTTTGAGGGATGCTAGAGCCCTTTAGCCCTCCTTGAGTGCGCCAGTGTCAGCGCGGGTATGCAAGGACGCAAGCTTTTAAACGTTTGGGACGTTCGACTCTGTTCACCACATGGCAGAATAAGGGAATACATTAAGCGCTTAGTATGTCATTCTCTTTTAAAAATGCCTACTTCCGCTACCTGTGAAAAAGGTAAAAATGCCCACCTGTTAACAGTCTGCTAAGAGATGAGTCTCTGTTAACAGTTAAATGATATTTTTGGTTTAAGAATCATTATTTTATAAATATAACAGTAATTTTCGAATTATTTTTTATTCAATTCTTCTATTTTTTTCAGAATGCTACGTACCAAATATTCTTATTTTTCATATATTTATGTAGTATCGATTATTACAATAAGAATGTAATCAAATTATAAGGTAAAATATAATTGTTTTCCAAGCAGCACCTACGAGATAATTATTGTACTGTGACAGGACTAAATCATCTCGTTGGTGGTATAACAGTTTTTTTCGGCGGTACAATGGGTAATATCACTATTCTACATTATCCATCATTCCTATTTACCGATCGTACCCCAGGCCCACTGGGCCCACTTGGCGTGCCGCACTTTAACACAGAGATTGGCAGTCTTTAATGACTCTAGGAAAATTCACCGCCCACAATTCACCGCCAGCAATTCACCGCCAGCAATTCACCGCCAGCAATTCACCGCCAGCAATTCACCGTCGCGTCATTCACCGCCAGCAATTCATCGCATCCGCAGTTCACTGCCGAGATGTGTTTGGTCAAATCATAAATAATATAATACATCATGCAATGGAGAATTGTTTTTACAATTTGATTCTGGACCCGAGGACAATCGTATGTTAATTTTCAGTACGAAAAGAAATTTGCAGTTGCTAGCGCGAAGTGAACACTGGTATGTCGATAGGACATTCAAAACTGTTCCCTTACTTTTTTATCAGCTGTATACTATACATGGATTCAAAGACAAAATATCGCTTCCATTAGTTTATGCCTTATTGCCTAACAAGTCTGAAGAAACGTATGTGTCACTACTACAACAGCTGAAGTTATTGGACCCAGCTATGTCCCCGCAATCAATAACTATAGATTTTGAGACGGCGATGATGAATGCTTGCAAAAGAGTTTTTCCTGACGCTTTACAACGGGGTTGTTTTTTCCACTTTTCACAGTGTATTTTTCGTTCCATTCAGAATAATGGATTGAAGCAACGTTATGAAACTGATACTAATTTTGCTTTAAATATGCGAATTTTGACATCAATTGCATTTGTGCCCACTCATAATGTGACGACCGTTTTTGAAACTTTGTGTGAAAATTATGTGTTCCCTCCAGAATCGCAAGAAGTTGTTGATTATTTTGAGGATACATGGATTGGACGCCTTACTAGACAACATCGTCGACCTCCGAAGTATTCTTATGAAATGTGGAACCTACACCAGCTTGTTCTTAAAGGATTACCGAGAACAAATAATTATGTTGAAGGGTGGCATAGAGGATTCGAAGAACAAGTCGCTGCTCATCATCCCAACATCTGGAAATTTATTGATTGCATTAAAAAAATTGAACAGTATTTAAGTGGAAGTGATCCAGGAAAAAGAAAAAAGAAGTATCGCGATTGTGATGAACGAATTGAAAGGCTTGTTAGATCATACGATGAACGGAGTAATATTGTTGATTATCTAAAAGGTATAGCGCATAATATTTCTTATTAATAATGTACATACTGTGTTGTAAATATTAGTTTCTTAGTAATTAATTAAATAATGTTCTAATTAGTTTAGTTTAAAACTAACCAATTGCTATATTGTTTAAATAATGAATTTTTTACTATTTCTGTAAGACATGTAACTTTCAAAGTACATAATCTACCTATTAAATGACATATTTCCATACATGTATTTTTTCATTTCCATACTATGTATTTCTTCATAGTTCATAGAATTCCAAGAATATGGTAATCATAATTTAAGGCAAAAACTTAAATAAAAAATGACTGTTTATGATTTGACCAAACACATCTCGGCAGTGAACTGTGGATGCGATGAATTGACGCGGCGGTGAATTGCTGGCGGTGAATTGACGCGGCGGTGAATTGCTGGCGATGAATTGCTGGCGATGAATTGCTGGCGGTGAATTGCGGGCGATGATTTTTCCGGATCCCGTCTTTAAGGGGGTAGACACGGGTAATGCAGCGAGGTGACATTACCGGCAAAAACGGGCCTATTAATGGGTTTACGGGAATCGGTTATTTGTCCTTATATGAGAACACATAGGGCTGGGTAAGGGCTCATTCGAAAGAGGAAGGTCCAATGCAGGGCGGTCAACTCATGGTTTAACGAGATTATGTGCATATTTAATAATATCAGTGTCGAAAGTAGAAGAAAAAATCGACAAAATGCAGTTGCAAATTGGAAGCATTTTTAGGCCACTAAAAGAGTTTTGTGACTCAATCGGTGAGTTGACCGCCCTGCATTGAACCTTCCTCTTTCGAATGAGCCCTTATTCAGATCAAGATCTTCTCGTATAAGGACGAATAACCGATTCCCGTAAAAGCATTCCCAAAGACGAGTTCCGCCATTATCTGAATACTACAGAGCAAGTCACGTGACAAATTTAGTTCAGCTAGTAGTTATAAGGTGGCGTCTAAGTAGAAAGGCTGCCGATTTGGAAACGTAGTCAGAATCAAGCGTTAGCTTGATTACGTCACTCGAACTGTGCTGCGAAGGCAAGCGAAAAAGGCAACATCGCCCGAACGCTGAGTGAGACGCACTACAGTCATGCTGTCCTTCTCTCATTCTGAATGTTGAGATTGTCCCCTTTCGCTAAGATTTGACTGCCGCCCGGCTGGATTTTCCACAGCGCCCCATAACAAACCTCGCCCCATTCAAACTATATCGTGTTTGGTATCATTTTAATCAGAAAAATTTCACCAATGCGCTAGTAAAAGTTTCAGTAAAAAAAAGTCAAAAATAAAAAAGTTTTATAATTGAATTAGTATTAGTCACACCGATACGTTTCGGCTCTTTCCTTTGATCATTAGACCGCTCTCTCTCTCCTCCACTGTCAGTCCCTTTCTACGTTCACGCTTGGCTGGTCGTCGCATCTAATTCGAGATTTGACATCTCGGCTGAATATATGCGAGGTCCCTCCATTTATTAGTTCTAATAGTACCATACTTAGTACTTTTTTATGCAGAATGTTTCAAGAAGTTGACACAAGTAAAAATTGATGCAATTTCATTTAAATAAAAAGTGGATTTGCATTTTTGAGTGCATCGTTGCATTCACGGAGAAGATGAAATCACAGAAAAACAGACATTATCATACCATTGAACTTTTACATGAACAGCTTTTTCCTATCTCTTACCAAATTCAAGATATAACCCGTCAGAAATTGCATGACGTATCCTGTATATTTTTATTAATTAAGAAACATTTATTTAAAGAAGTTAATAACTTTTTCTAAAAAGTTTCTCAGATTGCACGTTCCTTCGGTTCTTCAGAGTAGGCATATATTTTTCAGCAGCGAGGGGT